CAGCCCATGTCCGACTCCCACCCTGGGGAGCCCTGAGCACCCTGCGGCTGTGACCAGAAGCCGCTGACCCGAGGCCGGCAGTAGATCAGAGAAGAGGGGGTAACAAAAGGGTACGGGTGATACTTGGGAGGCTGAGGCAGGAGGATCACAGGTTGGAGCCCAGGCTGGGCAACATAGCAACTTCACAAGACCCTGTGTCAAAATTTAAAAAGTAAAATAAAATAAAAGCAGGAGCTATAGCTCGGTGAGAGGCATGAGTTCCGTCCCAGGATGGCAGAACCAAGCGGGCCAATCTACACAGCTCAAAGTCAGATTCCGAGGGGCTGAACTGCAGCCCTGTGCTTTCCTGGCTGTGTGGTGCTGGGCAAACTGCCTGGCTTCTCTGTGCCTCAGTTTCCACATCTGTGAGGGAGCCCCCACGTCACAAGGTGCCAGCAAGGACTGAGTGTCCAGTCCGTCACCGCTCACCTCTAGGCTGAAGCTTCTCCCCCGCCTGTGGTCACTGCAGGGACATAGCCCACGCCACCTGTCAGGGCCAGGATGCGGCGGCCTCAGGGAAGAACCCAAACTGCTGCCCAGCGCCGGAGGTGTGTCCTCTGCCTCCCACCCCCTTTTTCCAGCACTGAGGATTGAATCTGGGGCCTCTGGCTCAGCTTCACCCCAGTCCTGTGATTTTTATTTTGAGACAGTGTCTTGCATAGCCCCCGGGCTGGGCTCCAGCTTAGGATCCTCCTGCCTCAGCCTCCTGAGTATCACCTGGACCCCACACCAAGCCCTGTGACCCAGGTGTCGCTGTGACCAGCTCACGGCCAGGAAGCTGAGGGACCTGACTGTGGTCTCAGCTGTCATCCAGAAAGTGGGTTTGCTGTCCTGGTGTCGAGGAGGTTGGGGCTTCTGCCCCACTTCTGCCCACCCCGGCCCCTGGCGAGGGTAACAGCCAGGCTTCTTTCCCAGCTCAGACCCCACCCCGGGTCCCCCCACACTGATTCAGGGACTCCTGTGAAAGCAGAAGTGAAAGACTTTGCCTTCTCATCGTGGGCCAGGGGCTCATTTTGTTACCCAGTTTGCCTCCATCATAAGACACTCCTGCCTCAGCCTCCAGAGTGACTGGAATTATAGGGGTGTACTGTCACTGGATAGGGTTCTGTCCCCCCAAAGAGAAGACAACCTCAACTCACCCCCCGGAGTAGGTTTACCACAGAAGAACATTCTGGAAGCCCGATTTAGCTAAGTGAATAGCTTTCTTTTGTGCTGGGGATGGAACCTAGAGCTTTTGAACTGAGCTACATTTCCAGGCTCTTAAAAATGTTTATTCTTCTTCTTCTTCTTATTATTATTATTATTTTGAAACAAGTTCTTGACAAATCTCTTAACTGCCCAGCTTGGGTTCAAACTTGAGATCCTCCTGCCTCAGCCTCCCACAGTGCTGCCATCTTGGTGCGGTACCACCCCCGGCTGGAATGGCACATCTGCCAGCGTCTGTCCCCGTCCTCACTGATCTCCTCTGCCCCCTGTCCATACCCCACCTGGTACCTAACACCTAACCCTAACCTGGCCTCTCTAGCCTTTCTGGCCTCAGAACCAGGCAGTGCTGTTCTCCAGCTGTGCTCAGCGGGGAAATCGGGCCCACAGAGCTGTGGTGACCACAGCTCCTACTGCACAAGGCTCAAGACGAAAGCCTGGGCCGGAGCCCCAGAGCTCAGAGCCTCTCTGGCCACCGTCCCATCGGGGTGGCCCCCACCGTCCTCACTTCCAAATGCAGGATGCCACTTCCTCTCTCCTTTTCCCCCTTTTTTTGAAGCAGGGCACCCACATGTAATCCAGACTGGCCTTGAACTCACTCTGCAGCCAGGTTGGCCTGGAACTCTCAGCGATGCTCCTGCCTCAGCCTCCCAAGTGCTGGGATCATAGGTGTGTGCCACCATGCCCGGTTATTCTGTATTTATTTGTTTTTCACAGTATGTATTTTTATTTATTTATTTTAATTGGGACTGGGGATCGAATTCATGATGGTACACTTGCAAAGCAGGTGCTTTTGTCCTGAGCTAAATCCCCAGCCCCTCAGAATGTGTTTTTAAAAGGAGCCGAGGAGGAAGCCAGCTCCTCCTGCTCTCCCCAAACAGTTCCCCGGGGAGATTACACCATGGGAGGCACTGGATGTCCAGGGACTCCCAGGAGAGCTGGACAGACGCAACCTCCTGCCCTGCAACAGAAGCCCAGGTGCCCAGTGGCTCCTTAACATGCTCCCAGGAGGTCGCACAGGGACAGCAGTGCAGTTGAGTCACCCGAGGGCCTGGGCGTCACCTGGATGTGACAGATCAGAGATGAGGAGCCAGGAGCCCTTTCATTAACCGTGGGGGGAGGGCCCCATGCCTGTAGCAGAGGCGGGAGGCCCCGAGGGCGAGGCCGAGGCCCTGCTGGTCGGGCACTGACTCTGCTGCTGCTGCTGCCACCGCACACCTGCCATCCAGCACTCTGGGAGGCTGAGGCAGGAAGATGGCCATTGGTGACTTGGTGAGGACCCTGTCTCAGGGTACAAACAGCCGGAACACAGCTCAGTGGGAAGGCCCAGGTGCAGGCCCCGCTCTGGAAGGGAAAGGAAGGAAGGGCCGTCTCACCTGGCAGGAGCTTTGCCGAGTCCTCCCAAGGCAACCGCACTCTGGGGACACAGAAGCAGCCCTCCCTCCCAAAGGCTTCCTGGGGCCCACCAACTTTGCCCGTGTAGCACCAGGAAGAGCTTCCAGGCAATGCTGTGGAAGGAGCCAGGAGGGTTCCATTGCTGGGGCTGCCGGCTCCCGGGTTTTCAAAACAAATTTTTCAGGGTTGGAGTGTGGCAGCACACACCTGCTATCCCAGCACTTAGGAAGCCGAGGCAGGAGGAACCCTGGGAGTTTGGAACCGACCTGGGCTACGTAGTGAGACTCTGCATCAAAAAGAAAAAGAAAAAGAAAAAGAAGATAAGAAAAAAACAAAGAAAGGACTCCGGGACTCCCTGTGAACTCTGCCAGAGACTGCTTAGTGCCATGGGGTGACGAGTCCGAGGGAAGGAGGCGCTGTGCCCCCGGCTTCCCCGGCAGACTTGGTGCTGGGGTCTTCAGAGAAGCAAGGCCCCACTGGGCAGGGCGTGAGGAGCCCGCCTGGCAGCTGCTCCATCCTGAGGACCCAGGAGGTGGGGACATCTGTCCAGCCCCCGAGGCCTCAGGGCCCTGGTGGATGCGGTGACCCGCAGAGGTGAGGATGGCTGCAGCCAGCTAGTGGCTGAGCAAGGGCGGGACCTTTCCTGCCAGCCCCGGGGGGGGGGGGGCACACTGTGGGCCACAGCTTAGGGGCGGACACTGCCCAGCGGACAGCAGGACACAGGGTGTCGTGGTTCCAGGTTATGTGATCCCACATGCGTGAGGCGTGTGCACAGTGAACACACACACACACACACACACACACACACACACACACACAGGCTCCCCTGCCTCATAAGCCCTACGTGGTCCCCCCAGCCAGAAGCCCAGGGGCCCCCTCCTGGCAGCCCCCAGAGGACACAGGCACCATTGTTAGGGAGGGAGTGGCCTGGAGCCTGCATGTTCTGTGGTCTGTCCGTCTGTCTATCCTGCTTCACAGTACCAGGGGCTGGGCCCACGGTCTCGATGAGTTCATCCCCAGCGCTATTTTATTTTGTTTGATTCTCGTCGGGGGGCCCAGGGTCGGCCTCCTGGGCCTTGTCTTTTTGAGACAGAGTCTTGCCACATGTGACAGGATGGCCTTGAATTCACTATATAGCCCAGAATGGCCTCAAACTGGCAGAGATGCTCCTGCCTCAGCCTCCTGAGTGCTGCACACTTCCTCTCTCCTGTTTCTTGCCTCAGTGGCACCTGGGAGTCACTCCTGACCCCTCTGTGTAACTCGTTCTCCCAGCTGCCCTGGCACGGTGTGGGATGCCTGCAGGAGACGCAGTGTGGTCCCTGCCCTCAGGGCTGGCACAGCTGGGGCCGTGGAGGAGACCTGTGCAGAGTCAGGACAGGATGGAGAGGTGTGGGAGACAGGTATGGGGCAGTGTGGCATCCACGTGGCATGCAGGGTTCGGGGTCACAAGGCCTGGGAGCAGAGTGCTGGCAACAGAGACTCGGGGTGTGTGTGTGTGTGTGTGTGTGTGTGTGTGTGTGTGTGTGCGCGCGCACGCGCACCGCGGGTGTCACCTAGCCCTGTCCGTCTTCCAAATCCTGTGGGGTTTCTGTCTTTCAGTTTTGGTGAAAAGGATCACAGCCCTCCTGCCTCAGCCTCTTGAGTACTGGGCTCACTGGACCCCACCACGCCGGATCTGGGTCCTTTGCAGGGGACACAGAGAGAGAGGAGCTGATGGCCAGCAATGTGGGGGGGACCAGGGGACCAGGGGACCAGGGTGACACACAAATGTCGCTGGCCAGAGGATCCTGGCTCAGATGGCCGCCCCTGCCATCCCTGCGGCCCTGGCTCCTCTGCTGTCCCCTCGCCTTGGACAGAGCTGAGCCACTCTCCAGCTTCAACAGGACAAAGGAAACCGACTATGTTTCAGGGCTCAGTGGGGTTCAGACCCTGTGTGTGCTCTACGCGCCTGAGACTGGACCACGCCTGCCCCAAGCACCCCGTGCCTTACTCCGTGACAGGAGCAGAGGGCCCAGGGCCACGCGCCTGTCTTCCCAGCACTCGGGAGGCTGAGGCAGGAGGGTTGTCATGAACTACATGTCAAAACCCTGTCTCAAGAAACCAAAAGCACACTGAGAAGCTCCAGGGACAAAGGAGGAAGAAGGCCAGGGGACTCTTCCGGGGCCAGACAGACACGGGAGGAAGGGGACCTGCCACATGGCAGAGCCGCGGAGAGAAGGGACCTGGCCACTCCCGCCTCCGCAGTGTGCCTGGACACACCCAGTCCGGCACCAGGAGCCCTGGCCACTCAGGCAGGACCCCCAGGGAGGGAGGGGACAGCGCAGCCTGGGACAGTTCTGAAAGCCCCTTTGTGACCTGGCGGTCCTCATGGCAACAGGAGACTGTGACACGCACGGGCCTGAGGTCACAGAGCACCAGCCTGCAAGTCCAAAGTCCGCAGCCGCCCCAGTGCGCTTTATTTTAAGAGCAACCTCTGCGAGGAGCTTGACCAATTTTTTTCCCCTGGGTGCCCCCTGTGAGGTACTCACCAACGACGAGGTGTGACTGCCATGGCTGCACTGAGTTGTCTCCTGGACAGCGTGAGGAGGGACATCAAGAAGGTGGACCGCGAGCTGCGGCAGCTGCGCTGCATTGATGAGTTCAGCTCGCGCTGCCTGTGCGACCTGTACATGCACCCCTACTGCTGCTGCGACCTGCACCCCTATCCCTACTGCCTGTGCTACTCTAAGCGCTCTCGCTCCTGCGGCCTGTGCGACCTCTACCCCTGCTGCCTGTGCGACTACAAGGTCTACTGCCTGCGGCCATCGCTGCGCAGCCTGGAGCGCAAGGCCATCCGGGCCATCGAGGATGAGAAGAGAGAGATCGCCAGGTAGGACCGGGCCGGACCGGGCCTCGGTGCCCGGGCAGGTGTGGGAGCCCGGGCCCTGGAAGGGGGGAGGCAGAGGGAGGACCTTGATGGGTGGAAAGCGCTTTCCATCCCAGCGCTGGGGAGGCTGAGGCAGGAGGATCTCTGTGAGTTCAAGGCCACCCTGGGCTACATAGTGAGTTCAAGGCCAGCCTGAACTACATGGCAAGGCACTGTCTTACAAAACCAAAACCAGGCCAAGCATGGTGGCTTGAGCCTGTAATCCCAATACTTGGGAGGCTGAGGCAGGAGGATCACTTCGAATCTGAGGCCAGCTGGGGTTACAAAGTGAGTTCAAGGCCATCCTGAAACGAATAGTAAGACCCTGTCTCTAAAGGATGAAAAACAAGTGAGAAATGTCCAACATACTGTCTCTGGGGTCTGAGGAAAAGAGGGAAAGAGAGAAGGGCCTAGGGCCTTTTCTCCCAGATCCTCCAAAGACAAGGCAGTGCCTCAGGTGGGCAGGGCTGGTGCTGGTTCACAGCAGGGATAAATAGGAGGCTTTCACGAGAGACGAGAGACGGAGCTGGGGTGTTGATCTGGTGTGGTGGGCTCATCTGTAACTAAACACTCAGGAGGCTGAGGCAGGATGATCACCATGAGTTCGAGGCCAGCCTGAAATATACAGCAAGACCCTGTCTCAAGAAACAAAGCAATTAAAAAAAAAAAACCAAAAAACATCAAAAGTAGAAAGAGCTGGCCGTGATGGCACATTCCTGTAAGCCCAGTACTCTGGAGGCAGAGGCTGGAGGATTGCTGAGCTCAAGCCCAGCCTGGGTCCATAGTGAGATGCTGTCTCAGAAAACCAGAAAGAGAGAGAGAGAGAGAGAGAGACAGGCAGACAGACAGAAAGGGAAGGGAAAGAGGAGAGGAGAGGAGAGAAGAGGAGAGGAGAGGAGAGGAGAGAAGAGGGGAGGGTAAGGGAGGGGAGGGGAGGGGAGGAGAGGAGAAAAGAGGAGAGAAGAGGAGAGGGGAGGAGAGGAGAGGAGAGGAGAGGAGGAGGAGAGGAGAGGAGAGGGGAGAAGAGGAAGGGAGGGGAGGGGAGGGGAGGGGAGGGGAGGAGAGGAGGAGGAGAGGAGAGGAGAGGAGAGGAGAGGAGAGGAGAGGAGAGGGGAGAAGAGGGGAGGGTAAGGGAGGGGAGGGGAGGGGAGGAGAGGAGGAGGAGAGGAGAGGAGAGGAGAGGAGAGGAGAGGGGAGAAGAGGAAGGGAGGGGAGGGGAGGGGAGGGGAGAGGCAAGGAAAGGTAAAAGAAAAGAAAAGCTGTCATCAAGAAGCATCTCCGCCGCGCCTTCTGGTTGTGGGGAGCGCAGCTGAGTGAACCGGATTCCCTGAGGTGTCTGCAGGAGGAGCCATGGGAACCGCATCCCCAGGTATGGGGGTGGACGCCCACCCCGGATAAAGACCAAGCTGGGATTCAGTGTCTGTCTGTCCATGCCAGCGGGGCCAGGCAGATAAACCGGAAGGGTCTTCATTGAACTGGGTGGTCAACATTCTGCTGGGTTTGTTTCTTTTGAAGACAGCGTTCTACTCTGTGGCTCAGGCTGTCCTTGGACTCCTGATCCTCCTGCCTCAGCCTCCTGAAGCTGGGACTTTCCGACACAGGCCATTTAGTGCTTCTGGTGAAAAGTAGTGGAAAGCACTGTGCCTGGGGAGACAAACCGCATGGGTGTAACCCGCAGGTGCTTTGGTGAGGCGTTTTGTGTAGTGATGTAAGTGAGAGAGGTCAGGTGCAGAAAACCTGCGCTTAATACAGTATTGTTTAAAAGATGGCCCAGGTGAGATGCTCGGTGGGAGGATGATGGGGAGGTGACGGGTGGCTGGGTGACAGGTGGGTGTGCCGCTCTCCGGCCCGTGGCACCGCTGACATCCGATGCTGACTCCCGGGCTCCAAGGACACACCCCACCTGAGGCTGCGGACCATTCCTGAGTTGCCCTCCGGAAGGCCGGCTGACGCCCGTGAACCCCAACTTTCCATCTTCCTGGATGGGGCAAATTGTCAGCCACCCCAGCCGCGGCTGCACAGGGCCGCGCTCTTCCTGGTGCTTCCTGGGTGCTTCCTGGTCCACAGCTGCTCCGGGCTGGATTTACCGAGCACAGCTAAAGCTCCCGTCTCTGTCTGCACCACTGTCTGTCAGACTGTTTGCTTTGTTTTTCAAGACAAAGCACAGGAATCCCTGTGCAGTCCAGGCCAGCCTAGAGCTCGCTTTGGGACCCAGGCTGGCCTCAAACTCACAGTGATCCTCCTGCCTCAGCCTCCCGAGCGACCCTCCCTGCAGACCTTAGCTCACTGCTCCAGGCCTCAGGCCTGGTCACTTGGGACTTCGATGTTGGGCAGGGCTCCGTGGAAAGCCCACGAAGAGGACATGCGCTCTCGGCCCTGTGGGACGAGATAGAAGCTCATGGCCTCAGCCCCCACCCAGACCTGGGCCTGGGGACCCCAGCTCCTCACTGGCGCCTCTGCTGAGCCCTGCGAGACCTCCGGGCATTTAGCAGCAGCAGTGGCTGTGCCAGGCCCGGGGGGGTGCCCTTTGCAGCGTTTCCTGCGTGCTTTGCCCAGGTTTCCACTGCCACTCAGGGCAGGCATTTTGTTTGAGAAGGTCTCATGACGTAGCCCGGACTGGCCTTGAATCTGCAGCAATCCTCCTGCCTCAGCTTCCTGGATTGTGAGCGGACACCACCATGCCTGGGTTTAAGCAATGTTTTCCCAGTGGTTTACTGTGGTACGGGGCATTGAACCCAGGGATCCCGGAGCCCCAGCTCCAGCCCTCTCTGTGAGTTTGGAATGAGGCCTTGCTCAGTGGCCAGCGATGGCTGTGACCTGCGCCTCACACCTAGATCAGATCACATTTCTGTTGGGGGCAGAAGCGGACCTGTCCGGCAGTGTGGCTGCTGGGGCGGGCCGGACACACACCCTTCCACGGCAGGACTTCAAGTTTAGATTTCTGCTGTAACTAGTGGTCACTTTTCTATTGAGAGAGAGAGAGATTAAAACCAGGCACGGTGCACACGCCCCAGGGAGGCTGAGGCAGGAGGAACTCTGATAGTTTGAGGCCCTGCTGGGCTACAGGTAAGGCCCTGCTCAGAAAGAAACCGAAAACCACCCCTGAGTCCTGTGCCTGCCCTCTCTCCTGTGCAGGCTCCGCAGGACGACCAACAGGCTGCTAGCCTCCTCCTGCTGCAGCAGCAACATCCTGGGCTCCGTGAACGTGTGCGGCTTTGAGCCAGACCAGGTGAAGGTGCGCGTAAAGGACGGCAAGGTGTGCGTGTCAGCCGAGCGGGAGAACCGGTACGACTGCCTGGGCTCCAAGAAGTACAGCTACATGAACATCTGCAAGGAGTTCAGCCTGCCGCCCTGCGTGGACGAGAAGGACGTCACCTACTCCTACGGGCTGGGCAGCTGCGTCAAGATCGAGTCGCCCTGCTTCCCCTGCACGTCCCCCTGCGGCCCCTGCGGCCCCTGCGGCCCTTGCGGCCCCTGCGGTCCCTGCGGCCCCTGCGGCCCCTGTGGCCCCTGCGGTCCCTGCGGCCCCTGCAGCCCCTGCAGCCCATGTGACCCCTGCAGCCCCTGCGGCCCCTGCGGCAGCCGCTTCTCCTGTAGGAAGATGATCCTGTAGGCCCCACAGCACTTTCCTGGGCACCCAGAACGTGGGACAGTAGGACAGTAGGACAGTAGGACAGTAGGACAGTAGGACAGCAGGACAGTAGAACAGCAGGACAGTAGGACAGCAGGACAGTGAATACACGCTTGCAACTTGTGTCTGCCTGGCCTTTGTGGGTACCTGTGGGGGGTGGCGACACCCAGAGTCCGTCACACTCGGGGGCTCAGGGGTGGCCTGGCTGGAGCCGGCAGGGTCAGAGTGCTTTCCAAGGCCACCATAGCGGGGGATGGATGGGCTGTGCCTCCTTAGCATGGCGGGGCTGGGATTTTCCTGGGCCAATGGACCAGTGTGGTGCCCATTATCCCAGCACTCGTGAGGCTGAGGCAGGAGGATCTCAGCACATTTGAGGCCACCTGGGCTACACGGTGAGACTCCATCTCAAAAACAACCAAAGGAAACATGACACAGAGTACTATGGGGGCCGGGGGTACAGCTCAGCGGCACAAGTGCCCGCCTGGCAAGCATAAAGTACTGAGTTCAATCTCCAGAACCCCCCAAAATACCTACATATTAAAAAGAGTGCTACAGGTGGGGTTGGGGGTGGGGGCACACACTGACCCATGGCCAGGCGTCCACACGGCTCACCTTGCCAGACATTTCTCGGGTGTGGCGTTCGGTGGCTCTGGATCACCAGCAAGGCTTTTTTGACAACTGCCCGGGTCTCAAGTCTGACCAGGCTTCAGGAACAAAGTTGAGTCCAAAGTCTGGGAGTGGAAAAGCCCCACATTCCCAGCCTGAGTAACTGGATTGAGGACTCGGCTGCTCCAGTGCAGGCCAAGGGGACGTCTGTCCCCAGCTGCTGCCATCCACTTCTTGGCTCTCAAAGCTTGTGTCCTGAGCTATTTTACAAAGTGGTAGTATCAATGGGTTGATTCTTCAGTCTCGATAAAACATTATTCAGGAGGTGGGGTGTTGTGGCGCACACCTGTAATCTCAGCACTGGGAAGGCTGAGACAGCAGGATCACCATGAGTTTGAGGCCAGACTGAGCTACAAAGAAAGTTGGAGGCCAGTCTGAACTACACAGTGAGACCCTATTACACACACACACACACACACACACACACACACAGAGTTTTATTTAGTGAATAGTTCATGTCCCCAGAACCAGTGGGGGACAAAGTAAAAGTGTCTAAACTATCTCAGCCAGGAGTGGTAGAGCATACCTGTGATACCAGCACTCAGGAGGCCGAGGCAGGAGGATCACAGCGAGTTAAGGCCAGCGTGGGCTACATATGGAGACTGTCTAAACAAAAGACAACAAAAAAACATAAAAACAGAAGGATCAGGGATTTCACTCAGCGGCATAAGCATCTGCCAGGCAAGCTCGAGGTCGTGAGTTCGATCCCTGGTACCAAAAAACCCCCAGAAAACTCTCACCTTCCAGGGCCGGGTCTGGTTCTGCAGTCAGGCACTCGTGTGTGCCCAGCCTTGGGAAGGCACTGGTCAGTCCCTGGACACACATCCCCACCCCCAGGGGAAGTGAAAACCCTTTCCATCCCTACATGGAAACTCCCGATGTCCCCAGGGCCAAGCACTATTTGCCCGAATGGCTCAGGGCATCACGCTGGAGGCTGCAGCAAGCTCGATCCTGAACCAGGGGACACTGGGCCCCGTGAGCCCAGGGAGCCTAGAGGGCTTTCGGCAGGCGCAGTTCCCAGCAAGACCTCGGGGTCCCTCTAGGAAGTGACCCGGAGGCAGCGGCTGCTGGACGCTAACCTGGAAGCGACGTTCCCAGCTAGGAAGAGTCACGGGCCAGAGCCACGGCTCAGTGGCACAGCTCCAGCCCAGCAAGCACAAGGTCCTGAGTGCGACTCCCAGTACCAAAAAGAAAAGTCCTTGTCCCCAAAGAGAGCACACAAAGCCCAAATGCACCCAACCCTGGGCAGCGGCCCCGGGTGGATGCACACAGCATGACATTTGAGTCCCCTACCCCGAGGTGATGCCAATCTCTGTGACGAGTGCTCGTGCAGAGGTCAGCACGCTGGCCGTGTCCTGCCACAGCACGAAGACCCTGGACTGGCACCCTGGGGTGATGCCTGTTACAGGGATGCGCTTGGGGTCTTGGCAGGACAGCAGGCCTCTGGGCCTTGAGGTCTCAGGGGACACACCCCTGCTCCTCCACGGAACCCAGTGCCAAGCAGGTAGAGACAGACCTAAGGGCTCCAGTCTGGGCAGCTGATTCTTTTTTTGGTACCAGGGATCTAACTCAGGCCCTCACGCTTGCCAGGCAGGTACTCAGGCTGCTGAGCTAAAGCCCCGGGCCGCCTCTGCCTTCCTGTGGGCTCTGCTCCACAAGGAAGACCCTGATGCCTGCGTCTCCCCAAGTTCTGCTAACCTGGCACCAGACTGGGGGACCCTAGGACCGAGCTCTGTTGACCTGGTACCCAGCTTGGGCATGTGACCCTGCGTGGACACTGCAGAGGGGGCCTTGGGTTCCCTGGGACAGAGGTCTCACCACCTGCACAGAGCCCGAGCTCTCCACTAAGGCCCTGGAGCCCCTCGGCAGAGCCCCGCAGGGACTGCTCAGCTATTTCCCTGCCTTGGTAGTGTTTAGATAAATTTCCTCCCCCTCTCCCCACAGTGGGTGCTGATCATCAAAGATCAGGTGAATAAGACACAAAGCAAACAGAAGCCAGAGGTGGTGGCCCTCGACTGTAACCCCAGCACTGCAGGAGGCAGAGGCAGGAGGAGGCAACTTCAAGTCCCACTGGGCATGTTAGGACTTGTCTAGAAATAAATGGGCCTAGGGGGAGCTCAGTGGGCAGGCATCAGGTATGACCCCAGTACCAGGAAAAACTTCAAAAAGCAAACAAAACATAGATGTGTGCTCCTTGAGTTATTATCATTTCTTGAGACGGGGTCTCACCACGTAGCCCAGGCTGGCGTTGAACTGGTGGTAGTGGCCTTCCTGCTTCAGCCTCCGAGTGCTGGGTCCAGGCAGGCAGGGCAGGCGGGGCAGGGCAGAGACCGTGCAGGCGCTTTCAGCCGCGCCTCCCTGCTTCCCTTCCCAGGCTGGGGCTGAGCCCTGGCTTCTCCCGCTGCCTGCCGCAGCCGCCTTTTCCTCCTGGCCCACTGCTGCTCCTTCCCATGAGCACCAGATCCCTGCAGTGGCCTCTGGGAGGTGCCTGTCTCTGATCCTGCTTTCACCTCCCTGCCTGCGGGGGGCCAGGCCTTGCTTTTTCCTCTGGCCCCTCCCTTCTTAGATGTTTGTACCCCAAAACACAAACTCCACAGCGCCTCTCTCCTGAGGACCCGCAGGTCCGCTCCTTTCTCAGGGTCACCGGTTATGTGTCCTTGCAGTTCACACCGCTCCACCCCAACACATGCACATGCATGCTCTGCTGTCCACCATGAGGGACTCATAGGCTCCAGGAGGTGACTCTTCCCCAAGTGTCCCCAGGCCAGGCTGAGCCTCTCTCCAGGACCTTCCCCTCCCTTGCATGAACCCGTGGGAATCAAGCTAACAAGATCACATGGGCCATGTGCCCTCTGGCTCCACCCCGACACATTCCTTTCAAATTAGATTGTGCCAGGCATGGTGGCATACGATCACCATCCCAGCACCCCGGAGGCTGAGGCAGGAGGATGGCCACAGTGGCTGTCAGGCCAGCGGGCCAGGTGTGCGCCCACATCCAGGCGACGCTTTCCTCAGTCTAGCTGAGTCCTAAGTGTCCAGCACTGGGAGGACCCAGGGCCAGGAGAGGATGGGGAGGGGCGGTAGCAGGAGTTACCTCGGGCCGGCCAGGGGTCCACTCAGCACGCACTCACGTCCCGAGCCCAAAGGGCTGCCGAAGTTCACCGAACTCAGCTGGGGCTGGGGGTGCACACCTGTCCTTCTGGAGCTCTGGGAGGCTGAGGCGAGAACACTGCAAACCCAGCTCCAGCCTGGACCTCACAGCCACTTACCAAGACCTTGTCTCCCTGTGAGAAACAGGGAAGGGCTGCGGACGGAGGTCAGCACGAGGCTGAGGGTTCAAGCCCCAGCCCCAGCACATAAAGAAACAAAGCTCACCGGCAGAGGAGCACCCTCTGGAGACAGCAGCAGGGACGCACTGGCGTGCGTGTCCCCAGAGATCCTGGGGCCACAGCGGGGGGCCCTCCCGGCCTGCCTTTGCAGCATGGAAACAAACGGAACCAAGCCCCCAGTCACAGAGCCCAGTGCCACCCACTGGGCTGAGAGCCAGGTCTGGCCCGGCCCAGTGACGCAGGCCCAATGTGTCCAGGGGGCCCAGAGGCAAACGCAGCAGCAGGAGGGCAGAGCAAGAGGCGACGGTGCCCCTGCTCCAGGACTTGGTCCTCACGGTCCCCCTTCAGCAGAGCCTGGCGTGGGGCCTGCACGGAGGCCAGCAGATGAGGAGAAAGGCCCACCAAGCCCGCTGCCCTCCGAGGCTGCCTGAACTACTGTGAAACCTGCATAGCCTGTGATCCCAGCACTAGTCTCTTAATCTAATCATCTCTCTGCCTGGCGCCCAGCCCAGAACCCCAGGAAAATCATCTGCAAGCCTGAGAGTGGGACTCAGTGGTAGAGCACCTGTTTAGCATGTTTCCATCCTGGGTTCCATCCCCAGCACCATAAAGATACAATGAAATAAAATAAACCGGCGCATCTGTAACCCCAGCACTTGGGAGGCTGAGGCAGGAGGATCGTCATGAGTTCAAGGCCAGTGTGGGCTACATAAGGAGACCCGGTCTCAAAGAAACAAACAAAAAATAGGTGCATATTTTTTAAAAGGCATCTTATATGGCAATATATAAAGTCAGGTGGTCCAGTGTGCAGACTGCAAAGCAGTTGAGAAAGGTCCCATTGGGGAACACAAAATTCCAGCTACAAATCTCAAAACAGGTATCTTCAGGAGGCACAGCAGCCAGGTATGGTGGAGCACACCTGTCATCCTAGCACTCGGGAGGCTGAGGCAGGAGGACCGTCCCAAGTTCAAAGCCAGCTTGGGCTCCACAGTGAAACTCTATTTTAAACTTAAAAAAAAAAAAAAGGAAAAGGAAAAGAAAGAAAAAGACAGCAAAAGAGGAGCCAGATGCCAAGGAGTGCCAAGGACTGCCCAAGTCACTGGGCCAAGACAAAGTCCGACTGTGGGA